GCCCCCTGCGGGCCAGCGCGGGCGGAGCAGGGCCCGGGCCGCCCTCAGGACGGAGCCGCCGCAGCTCCCGAACACCCACCGGTGTCCGTATTGCCGCCGGAACATTCAAACACCCACCGGAATGTTCATCTGCCCGCCAGAATATTCATATATCCACCAGATTCTTACTGACATCCAGTTACCAAGTTACCGCCGTGCTACTAGCTCTCTTCATGCCTCTACCGGAGTAAGGAATTAAGCCGCAATTCCACAGAATCACGGAATAGTTTAGATTGGAAGGGACCTTGACGATTATCTAGTTCCAAATCCCCTCCCATGGGCAGGGATGACCAGGACAGACCAGGCTGCTCAAAGCCCCATCCAACCTGGCCTTGAGCACTTCCAGGGATGGGGCATCCACAGCTTCTCTGGGCAACCTGTTCCAGCCTCAACACCCTTGCACTAAGGAATTCCTTCTTAATATATCACCTAAACCTACCCTCTGTCAGATTTCCCCTTTTCCTGTCACTACACACCCTTCTAAAAAGTCTATCTCCAGTTCTCAGGCAGGCCCTTCAGGTACTGGAAGGCTGCTCTAAGGTGTCCCCACAGCCTCCTCCGGGCTGAACAATCCCAGCTCTCTCAGCCTGTCTTCATAGGAGATGCACTCCATCCCTCTGAGCACCTTGATTTAATTGGATTTTCCTGCTGTTCTGGCAAAATTTAGAAAATATTTACACTCATCACTAGTAGGCACATTTCTCAGACAGGCATGTATGCACATTTTTGTAAGGCATATGGACTGCATGTGCTTCTTCTGCTAGGTGTATTTACTGGGTATTTTCAGAGTAATTGCAGGGTACACACAGATCTTACACATCCTAAAATGGCTGTTTTGGCGCATGGCATTGCTCTTGCCAGGCTGTTGCATGCCTGGGAGTCCTGTGCAGGACACCACAGAGCATGTGGCAGCCTCGTGCCAAGCGGCCAGCCTTTTGTGGCTATCACGTATCTGAAAGTCTGAGATAAACTTTGGGAGCTCTCATGTTGCATCTGGAAAAAAACTTGAAAGGAGGGAGATGCTTTAACCTGGTAGCTGCAGTTCTGGCCAGGAGTGAAAAGAAAACCAGCAGCTCCCAGCTTGCACTGGCCCACCAGCTACATCCCTTCTTCTCTCTGTCAACCCAACCTTAAACACGAGTATCTACAAGCAGTGCTGAGTGTTCAATGAGCTGTGGGTGTGGGGACTGCTGTGCTAAAATCAGCAGAGCCATTTGCAGCTCTAGGACTATGGTACTCTAAAAAGCTCCCTGGCTTTTACTCACCTTCTATTCCTGATGGACTATGATACACTGCGTTGCAATCATACCTTTCCTTTCAATATAAGCTGCAAAGGGGAGAAGTTGCTGTGCTCTGTCACACTCAAAGCAGAGAAGATTTTCCTCATATTCAGATGGAACTTCCTGTGTGTTCTTCAAACTTTCAGTTTGTGCCTTTTGTCCCTTTTCCTGTCCCTAGGCACCACTAAAAAGTCTAATCCCATCCTCTTGTCAACTGCCCTAAACATTTGTAAGCATTGATGGTCCCTTCTCAGTTACCTCCCCTCCAGGATAAACAATCCTAGCTCTCTCAGCCTTTCCTTTTAAGCAAGATGCTTCAGTCCCCCAGCCATCTTTATAGTCCTCTGCTGGACCTACTCCATGTCGAGGTCTCTCTCTTGTACTAAGGAGCCCAGAACTGGACACAGCACTCCAGATGTGGCCTCACCAGGGTTGAGTAGAAAGGCAGGATCACCCTCCCTCTTCCTGTTGACCACACTCTTCCTAATGCACCCCAGGATACCACTGGCCTTTTTGGCCACAAGGGCACACTTCTGGCTGACTTGTTGACCACCAGAACTCCCAGGTAGGTCCTTCTCCACAGAGCTGCTTTCCAGCAGGTCAGCCCCCAGCCTGTGCTGGTGCCCTGGGTTTTTCTTCCTCAGGTGCAGGACCCTGCACTTGCCTTCTCTGAACTTCACTAGGTTCATCTCTGCCTGGCTCCTGTGTCTGTCCAGGTCTTGCAGCTTGGCAGCACAGCACTTTGGTGTGTCAGCCACTCCCCTTAGTTTTGTATCATTGTCAAACTTACTGCAGGTACACTCTGTCCCTTCATTCAGGTCACTGATTAATAAGGTGAACAAGACTGGCCCCAGTACTGACCCCTGCAAACACTGCTTGCTAAAGCCCTCCAACTTAGCCTGGTCACAACACTGAGCTCTGTCACCCAGCCAGTTCTCAATCT